AGTCTAAAAATCGGATTGTAGGTGTATTGTAACACAGAGACAGAATAGCAACAAAAAATTCAAAAGAAATGCATGTCTAACAAATTATGCACTGATTTGCATGTTCATGAGAGAAATAAGTATTTGATCCCCTTCACAAAACATGACTTAGTACTTGGTGGCAAATCCCTTGTTGGCAATCACAGAGGTCAGACGTTTCCTGTAGTTGGCCACCAGGTCTGTACAGGAGGGATTTTGGCCGACACCTCTTGGCAGATCCTCTCCAAGTCATTAAGGTTTGGTGGCTGACGTTTGGCAACTCGAACTTTCAGCTCCCTCCACAGATTTTCCATCGGATTAAGGTCTGGAGACTGGCTAGGCCACTCCAGGACCTTAATGTGCTTCTTTTTGAGCCACTCCTTTGTTGCCTTGGCCGTGTGTCTTGGGTCATTGTCATGCTGGAACACCCATCCACGACCCATTTTCAATGCCCTGGCTGAGGGAAGAAGGTTCTCACCCAAGATTTGACGGTACATTGCCCCATCCATCGTCCCTTTGATGCGGTGCAGTTGTCCTGTCCCCTTAGCAGAAAAACACTCTCAAAGCAGAATGTTTTCCACCACCATGTTTGACAGTTGTGATGGTGTTCTTGGAGTCATAGGCAGCATTCCTCCTCCTCCTCCAAACACGGCAAGTTGACTTGATGCCGAAGAGCTCGATTTTAGTCTCATCTGACCACAACACTTTTAACCAGTCATTCAGATGTTCAGTGGCAAACTTCAGACGGGGCTGGACATGTGCTTTCTTGAGCAGAGGGACCTTGCGGGCACTGCAGGATTTCAATCCTTGTCGGCATAGTTTGTTACCAATTGTTTTCTTGGTGACTGTGGTCCCAGCTGCCTGGAGATCATTGACAAGATCCTCACGTGTAGTTCTGGGATGATTCTTCACTGTTCTCATAATCATTGACACTCCACGAGGTGAGATCTTGCATGGTGCACCAGACCTAGGGAGACTGACAGTTGTTTTGTATTTCTTCTATTTGTGAATGATTGCACCAACTGTTGTCACCTTCTCACCAAGGTGCTTGGCGATAGTTTAGTAACCCAGTCCAGCCTTGTGTAGGTGTACAATCTTGTCCCTTGGAAAGCTCTTTGGTCTTTGCCATGGTGGAGAGTTTAGAATCTGATTGTTTGATTTCTCCTGTGGACAGGTGTCTTTTATACAAGTAACATGAGATTAGCAGCACTCTCTTTAAGAGACTGCTTCTAATCTCAGCTTATTACCTGTATGAAAGACATCTAGTAGCCAGAAACCCTGCTGAATGATAGGGAAATCAAATACTTATTTCCCTCATGAACATGCAAATCAGTGCATAATTTGTTAGACATGCATTTCTTTTGAATTTCTTGTTGCTTCTCTGTCTCTCAGTGTTACAATACACCTACCATTCGATTTTTAGACTGATCATTTCTTTGTGAGTGGGCAAACATTCAAAATCAGCAGGGGATCAAATACTTATTTCCTTCACTGTATACAGTTGTGTTCAAAATAATAGCAGTCAGACATCACTAACCTGATCAATCACTGTTTTTGGTAGAAATGATATTTCTACATGGCAAATAATTTACAAGCAGGTGTAGTAGAGTAATAGAAATCCAACAGACCCAACAGTCTTGACATGCATGCTGCTGATTCTGTGTAATTGAATCACTAATTGAAAGGGGCATGTTCAAAATAATAGCAGTGTGGAGTTCTATTAGTGAGGTCATTCATTCTTTGAAAAACAGGTGGCAATTATTGCCCTTATTTAAGGAAGGAAGGCAGCAAATGTTGTACATGCTGGTTACAGTGCATTTCTCTCTGAATTTCTGAGGAAAATGGGTTGTTCCAGACATTGTTCAGAAGAACAGCGTACCTTGATTAAAAAGTTGATTGGAGAGGGGAAAACATATAAAGAAGTGCAGAAAATGATAGGCTGCTCAGCTAAAATGATCGCAAATGCTTTAAAATGGCAACCAAAACCTGAAAGACATGGAAGAAAGCGCAAAACTACCATTCGAATGGATAGAAGAATAGCCAAAATGGCAAGGACTCGGCCAACAATCAGCTCCAGGAAGATCAAAGAAGGTCTAAAGTTACCTGTGAGTACTGTTACAATTAGAAGACGCCTATGTGAAGCCAAGCTATCTGCAAGAAGCCCCCGCAAAGTCCCACTGTTGAAAAAAAAGACATGCTGAAGAGGTTACAATTTGCCAAAGAGCACATTGACTGGCCTAAAGAGAAATGGCGCAACATTTTGTGGACTGATGAAAGTAAGATTGTTCTTTTTGGGTCTAGTGGCCGGAAACAGTTTGTCAGACGACCCCCAAACACTGAATTCAAGCCACAGTACACTGTGAAGACAGTGAAGCATGGTTGCGCAAGCATCATGATATGGGGATGTTTCTCATACTACGATATTGGGCCTATTTATCGCATACCAGGGATCATGGATCAGTTTGAATACATCAGAATATGTGAAGAGGTCATGCTGCCTTATGCTGAAGAGGAAATGCCCTTGAAATGGGTGTTCCAACAAGACAACGACCCCAAACACACCAGTAAACGTGTAACATCTTGGTTCCAGACCAACAAGATTGACGTTATGGAGTGACCAGCCCAATCCCCGGATCTTAATCCAATAGAAAACTTGTGGAATGACATCAAAAATGCAGTTTCTGAGGCAAAACCAAGAAAGAGAGAAAAATCGTGGAATGTAGTCCAATCATCCTGGGCTGGAATACCTGTTCACAGGTGCCAGAAGTTGGTTGACTCCATGCAACACAGATGTACAGCAGTTCTCAGAAACAGTGCTTATACAACGAAATATTCATTAAGTGATTCAAAGGAAAGCAAAATCTTCAAACATTTTTCAGTTTATATAGTGAATGTTTGAGTTTGTAAAGAAGAATACAAACACTGCTATTTTTTTTGAACAGTCTAATATTCACTTCAATTTTTTTAGAGGAACAACACAAATTTGATATATTTTTCTTCATGTTTTGATTTGGAACAGAATGTGTAGTGTTCCCAATGCATTTGTGTGTATGGAAATAAAAGCTATTAGAAGGATTTTGAGCTTTATTCACTTTTTTCAACACACTGCTATTATTTTGAACACAACTGTATGTATGTATATGTAAATTATATATATGTATATATATGTATATGTATATATGTATATATATATATATATATGTATATGTATGTATGTATGTATGTATGTATATGTATGTATATATATATATATATATATTTAGCACACCCCTGCTGCCCTGTAGCAGTGTTTCTGCTATAAGGCGGAGGGGAAGCGGTTAATGTATATGGACTGAATATATGTCTGATGTAACAATATCACGGACAAAAATAATGCACCTCACACCGTGCTATAGCATTTTCCAAGCACATGCAGTGAAGAGTTCACTATTGTGTCTGCGTCTATATTTTCTTTGTTTAATGTATATGGATTGAATATGTGTTTGATATAAAAATAACACACAACACACAATGGTATAGCATTATTTGCAGCACATCCACAGCGCTGATCAATTTTGAACACAAACACAAGTCACATGGTACAATACACAATATCGGCACTAGTTTAGAACAACATAGCTGTTGGACACTGGTTATTTTATTTTGGGCACATCCAAGGCAGAGGTAGTTTTGTTTGTTTTTGTTACCAGGGTCATTCAAGTCAAACTGGGAGTTTTGAGTTTATATAATTAAAGAACTAATTTCAAAGAGTGGAAACTGCATTTATTTTTCGACATACTCCCCTGCTACATTGATACACTTATCCCAGCATTTAACCAATGCCTGGAAAGCTTCAGCATAGAAAGATTTGTCAGTAAGCCTGAACCACCTTAGGACAGCATACTTCACTTAGTTCATGGTGTTTACTGTTCCCACAGAAAGATTAGTCTCTTGTGCAATTTCACGACAGGTTATGCATTCCAAACGCTGAATGTTCACAGGAATGACTGCTGTGACGTGCTGGGAACCACCATGGCAGGGATTGTCATTGACAGACGTACAGCCATCTCTGAAACACCTACACCATTGAAATGTCTTGCTGTGGCTAAGTGTCTCATCACCGTACTGTGCTTGAAATTTTCTGAAGATATCCGCAGGTTTTTACACCTTTGTTCACAAGAAACTTTATCACTACGCGTTCCATGCACGTACTAACACTGTTGATGGCCATCTTGATTAACGGTCTCTAGACTGGCCCGCGATGTGTGCCACCTATCAATAATAGGACACACTTGCCATTTACTACTGTGTGTAGTACCACCGCAGTAGCATCACTTTTTATACCTGTAAAATTTAAGTCCCGGTTTGACCTGAAGGCCCCTCGTAAATTTATAACAGTAATGATCAATGTTATGAGCAATAGTTTTTTAACTATCACGAATGGCTTTCCATTCATAACAGCTTACTTACTGTTGTGATTGGCTATAGCTAATAACATGGTACAGAGTTCCAGGTACCATGTGATAGCTGTGGGCCAATCACAGGACCACAACAGTAAGCAAACTGTTCATGAATGAAAGCCATTTATGACAGTTTGCTTACATTGTAATCATGTGATCGCTATGATTGGCCATAGCAATCATGATACCCCAGATGCTCACAGCAGCCAGGTATCAATTACTAGGACCCGCTGAGATTGCGAGGCTGCCCACCCCAGGGGCTGCGATAGTGCTAGGCAACATATGGATACGTTTCCTAGTTTGAAGCTGCTGCCCTCATGTAGTAGATGTACTGTTAGCGGGCAACATGAAGTTAAGGCACCACAGTCTGCTAGCCTTTTCTGTTTGATTGGGCTGTAACTGAGGTTTGGTTTTACTGACATGGGTAATGTCTAAATGGTTGATATAATGTAAGGCTTGAGCAAGAAACGTCAATGTTACTAAAAAAGAAACATTTCTACAAACTTTGCTTTTCTGTTAAAATCTAGGCACAGTTATGCTTACCAATTCCTGATCTTTCATCCACTCCTGCAACTTCTCAAATTCAAATCCATTTGTTCTTGAAGTGGTTACTGTGTAGAGCGTGTAGTAGACACTTTCGAAACAAACTATAATGCAAGCAGATGAGATCAGTAATATTCTAAAGACACATAAACTTCACATTACTTCAGGCCATGTGAGGTGTGTGGCAGCAGGGTTATCTCTTCCTTTATCTACAGCATGCTTTGGATCTGGACAAACTTTTCCCAAGCCGGCACCCTCTCTAGTCAGCGACATCCAATTTATTGGACCTCGTTAGCCTAAGCAGGGGCCACTAAGCATTTAGGCATGATTCTGTAATGGACATCACTGCATGGGCTCAGGACTACTTCTAAAAATCACTGTCTGAACACACTTTGCCATGCCATCCAAAAATGCAAAATAAAGCTCTATCATGCAAAAAAAAGCCATATCTGAACGTGATGCAGAAATGCTGCCATCTTCTTTGGCCAACAGCTCATTTAAAACGGTCTGCTGCAGTGGAAACTGTTCTGGGGTCAGACAAAACGAAGTTTAACACATTCTTTTTGGAGAACACGCTACCTCCAGACTAAAGAGGAAAGGGACTTTCTTGCTTGTTGTCATCACTCAGTGTTGTTGGGGTTGTACTTTGCCAACTTTTTGTTGCTCTGCCCCAGCTTTTTTGAGGTGCGTTGCTTCTGTCAATTTCAAAATTACTTAATTTTTTTCTTAAATTGATACATTTTAAACATTTGATATGTTTTCTATTTTATAGAAAATAATGGGTTTAGGAGATTTGCAAATCATTGCATTCTGTTTTATGCAGATTTTACACAGTGTTCAACTTTTTTGGAACTGGGGCTGTACAACCGGCTAATCTTGTTGCTTCACATATTGTTTAAATTAGTTTAAAAATAGCAGCTCCAATAATAATTTGTTTGAAGTATCACAGTCATGTGGCGCGATGTTATAGGCTATTAGATGGATTGATCTAATAAATAAATTTTATATATATATTATATATATATATATATATATATATATATATATATATATATATATATAATATATATATATATATATATATATATATATATACTAGTATTTATATGCATACTAGACATTATTGGATAGACAATTGACCAAAACCATGGCCAATAAATAGGTACAAAATATGGAATTGCAGATCACAATTTAACCACTCTGGAGTTTCAAGATTACTTATGTAGCCAGAAAATTATATAAGACATTGTATGTGTACTTATTCATGATTTAACAATCAAAAAATAATTACCTTCTTGACCTGTAAAACTGAACTGGTCAAAAATCTGCAGTGGTAATGCTTTTCTTAGTTCAGACAGTCTTATGACTTCTTTAATTTTTAGCTTGTTTGGCCTGTGTTCAAAGAAGAAAAGAAAAAGAATCACACAGATTAGTGATCACAAACAAAGGAATTTACACAACGGACAAACTCAGCAGGTAATTAGTACACCAGGAAAGCATTAGTACCTTTTATGTTTTTAATTTTGTCTACATCGACCTTGAGAAGATTCCCCTCACTTCCTGTTCCAGTGGTCACTGAGACAGGAAGTGAAAAGTAAGACATTTTTCCTGCTTATACCCATTGACTGGTCTAGCCAAAACATAATCGTTTATATTGTTCGTGAAGTTAAAGTGGTTCAGATCCTAGAAGAGTTCTTTAGCATATAAACTGCAGAAGATAACATCAGGCAATGTGTTTTACTTTATGTGTATGAGTGAACATGTTGTTATGTTGTTAGATGCACTAGAAGATATAGAAGGGCTTGACCATCAACTCTCTAACTGCCACTTTTGTTTTACAGGCTGGTGTGTCAAATGAATTTGAATAACAGGCTAACTGTCCAAAACAACAAGTGAAAAAGAAAAAAATCGTAAAAAAAGAAAACGAATGCTGTCGACTCATCTAAAAACTGGTAAGCTGCAATATGTTACACTTTTGTTTTTGTGAACTGACATGATGAGCAGGCAGGCTTTTATGGCAAATGAGACATGCACTGTCTCTTCTGCAATAAAATGCCCCTACCTGCCTGCTTGCTGTTTCCTACAGTGCTGTAAACAAGGCTGTAAATGCACAGCTCAGCTTACTTCCTGAAATGATGGCCTCCTGTGCATGTGCTGGAGTGGCATCACCCCCTGCCTACCAATGAATAGGCCCGAAGACTGGTGAAATACAGTTGGAAAGTATTAAGCCTTTAGTTCCATTTAATACCACATTAAACAGTTTTTACCAGTGAAAACTGAACTTCTGCTGTCCAGCCTTTCACATATTTTCTATAATCTAACAGAAGCTACAATTAAACACTTAGTCTGCAGAATTACAGGCATTAAATCGTAACCACTGTAACTTAATTTTCTACTAACGCTATTATACATCAAAAGTCATACTACATCAACCAGGCAAGTTAAAATAAAGACAGGCCAAGGACACATCTGTTGCTTTCGAAGGGTAAAGCCATAGAATAGAAAGCCTCTATCCCAAAATGAAAACTCAGAAAATATTCCTGGCTCAATACACAGGCATTTAACGCAGCATGAGCCTTGTGCCAATTCAGTGCCAGGGCCAACATTAGCAAATTTACATAGGATCTAGGGGCAATTTTGCCTTCAGCCCCTGGGTGTACAAAGCAAAAATACTACATTAGTCAGATTCAAAAAGGACCATCATTGAATCCTAAGTACTCACCATGGGCAGCACAGGCATATTTCTCTTTAGGTTTAAAAATTAAAGTGTATATGTGACCAAAAATCGAGACTCCAAATATAGTAGCGTGTGCTGAAAGCAATTTTTTGTTCCAGACAAATATTAGTAAAGACACCTGGTGACCCTGCCAGAAACACAAGCTATAACTTCCTTCCATGAGTCGACAATGCTAACACTACTGCACTGAAATGGTGAGCAGTGTTGTCAAGTCCACATGTGAAGTACACAGATGGATTAAACGCCAACCTGCCAATGTTCCCTATGCCGCCACAGTACCTTCTGCTTCTCTCTCCAACACCAGCACCCATGGCAAGTGTAGTTTTGTGACTGCCTGCACATCAACGAAGCACAGAAAATGCCTCTAAAAACCACTGATGCTCCCCAAACATCATCTGTAGACATTCTGCATGGAACACTGGGGAAAAGGAGACATAGCACTTGCACTTGTATTCAAAGCAATATGCTACAGATAAAAAAAATTATTAAAGAGGGTTTACATTAGCCCGCTGTATATATGCCCATTACTTTGATTTGTAGCAAGGGTTCTAAAAAGCCAGGAATCTGTACTTACAGCTGTACAGGAATGCTGCAAGAGCTTGATGACTTGAATTTAATATTGCAAGCACGATGTTCCTGAATATATAACTCTCCTTTCCACACATTATAAAGTTCTTTAAAAGGGAAAAAAATACATATTTTTAGTGACATACACAAAATGTACAATATCTGTTGCACACACACTATATATACACACGCCATACCTGTATTAGTCAACTGGAGCCTGTATAAAACGAAAAAGAAAAATAACTAATGGTAAAATAACAGAATTATGTATATAATAAACTTACAAGTCAATTCATTGCATATACACTAAAAGAACGTACATGCCAGATTAGCATAAAAAGACACACGCAGCTATCAAATCACTTAGAATTTATTAATGCAGGAATTGCTTGGACACCAATCGGCATGGGCCATCTTTTCTAAGAGGTGGTATGCAATAATTAGGCTGTACCTGGTATTAATTTCTAGTCACCAATGTAGGCACTGGCAGAATACTTGCAACTGCTGCTACAAGTGAAAAATCCATAGTCAATGAACTTGTCCAAAGTAACAATTTAGTTCTTAATTGACATTAAATACAAACTGAGATCTAAGATATTACTCATTACAGGCAACACCGCCTCCTTTTTTTTTTTACCATTTTTGTTTTTTAATACAAGACCTAACGAGAGATATTAGGAACAAGACTTCAGGGGTTACTGAGCATGAACAAATAGACAAATGCTGTATATAATGTATTTGTCTGCTATGCTTTATAAAAACTTAAAATGTATCTCTTGTGTAAGAGAAATTTGAAGCAAGTAATTGCTTACATATCAGGGTCCTGTAATACTGGCATGTTACATCTATGTCATTCAAAAGGAGGCAGTTATATAATGGAAGTTTGGCCTTGGCTGTAGACGACTGGCATTGTTATCCATACGCTCAAGACTGAAAGATATACAAAACAGTAATCTATTAGTACAACCAACGTGCCATACCTAACTACAACTCTGCAAACTTTAGCCACAATTTGTAAATTTTGAGAACTTTGCAATTTAGTAGTGAAATATAAGCACCTGAAAATACTGCTATAAGATTCATTAAAGTGATACTAAACACACACGGTTTAATTTACATTATGCCTTCACTTTCTGTATGTAGGATGATGGCACTGCAATTATTTTAATTAAAAAAAAAAAAAAAAAAACAACAAAAAACACATCTAAGTACTTTTTCCTAATGAATATACATCTGTCACATGACCCAGCTCTTTCCCAGCCTGTCTGCAGGGAAACATAGGCAAGAGCAGCATCTAGCCCTCTGCTGCTACTGGTCACATATTCAAAATTAAAAAAATCAGAGTAGAAATCAATAATTAATATCAATAAACGGTCTTAAATCACATCATATAAATATATATTTGAAATCAAATATTTAGCATATTTTGCCAATAACATGGCATGGGCGGATTTCTGCCAGTCACAGGCTGTATCACAACCCTCCAGCCTGTGTCTTAGAATAGCAGGAAGGTGAAGCCTCCATCAATCAAGATGAAATATCCCACCCCATGGTGTTTAGCTGGCTAGTGGGCATGGAGGAGGGAGTGGGCTGTTATTTATCACTGTGTATACGCGAATAGGTGCAAATCTATAGTCACATGGGCTGCCGAGGAAGTGAGAGGAAATGCTCAGCATAGAAACTCACTGAAAACATGTTCAGAACCTGCCAACACTGTTCTGCAAAATCCCCAACTGCACTGAGGACATGGACAGAAGGTGGAGATAGAGGACATGGACAGAAGGTGGAGATAGAGAGAACAGGATCAACCAGGTTTTTTGTAGAATACAGAGAACAAATCCCACAGTGAGTATGAACAGCAAGTAATACAGCATTTAGTGATAGTTTTAAATTATGTGGATTTAGTGACACTTTAAAGTTACTGACCAATATGAAAAACATAACCTGAATTTTACGTACATGAGCTTATGAAACTGTGTTAGTCACAAAAAAATAGTACATAGCAAAAAGTAAACCTCAGTATCACTAAAGAAATATTTTCATCAATATTAGTATTACAGAGCAACCTAGTTAATGCCGGTTATTGCAGCGATGTACCAATACAATAGCAGCAGGAAACCTGCAGCAAGGACAAGTCATAAACTAACAAGATACCTATCAGCTGTCCATGCAAATACCAACTCTGAGGAATTTTCTATTTGGATGGCCACTTGATGAGACCTCCGCCCTCGTTCACAATGTCACATCGCATGTGATTCGCACACGAATCACACTGCATTCCTGTATATATCACATGCAATTCAGTGCAGTGCAATTTGGGTCCATCATTTTGTATCACTCAAATCACACCGAATTCGCATGAAATAGGTGAAGACACCTTTATTTTTGCCACACTGGAATCTGATTGCATGAGTCTCCATACCCATGTGATCTAATTCAGGCAGATGCACTGCGTTCTTCAACCTGCTTTTGGGGCGTCTTTAACGTTTAATTGACACTGCAGCAGATCGCATGAATGCAGTGTGATTGCTATGTGGTGTGAGAAACGCAGCGATTCACACCCTAAAATAGGAAGTGACGCAAGATTACGTCCCTTTGCCAAGAGCTGCAGCTCGCCCGCAAGATGCGGGAAAGCGGTTGGCAAGTAGTTAAACAAAAAAAAACTCTTAAAGATTTTTTTTAAAATTCTCAGTGTTTTTTTTAAATACTTTTATCAGAATAGTATAATGTTACCATAGTAACACTGTACTACTGAGTGTGTTGGGGGAGAACAGGGATTTTTTTTTAACACTTTGCTTTGCAAGAGAAATAAAGATCCTTTCTCCTGCAATGCAAAGCTTATTGTCCTGAACCTAACTCATTCATGAACTGTCAGCAAAGAGTTAAGTTTTGACAGCTCAGGATAGTGATGCGATTGGCTGGAGTGGTCACATGGTACAGGGTGCTGTGATTGGTCCCATGTGACAGCTGTGGGCAAATCACAGCTTACTAGGAAGAGGAGCAGAGCTGTTATGAATGAGATTGATTCATAACAGCTTTGCTTATATTGTGATCATGTGACCGCATAGCGATCACATGATCACTGGGTCCCGTTCACCGGGATCTTCATTCCGCTGTGTCCACTGGAAACAGCAGTCGCGAGGGGGGGAGCGCTGCGTGGCACCCCCGTGTTAGTACAGCCAGAGCGACGTACAGGTATGTTGCTTTGCTTGTAGCTGCCGCCCTGCCACAGTACATTGCAGGCAGGTAGGCGTGAAGCGGTTAAAAAAGGAATCCAGCCTGGTTTAACCTTTTCAAAACTGAAAGGTCCACCACAGGAGGTAAGTGCCTGTGCTTTTATTTATCTTAGTGGTGAAGAACATCACTTTTAAACACTGTTTTGTCTCAGAAGGTTTTTGGGAAGTTGGACTCCTTTATGTATTTTTACAGATGAATGTATACATATTCAAAATTACTTTACTTAAGGCATCAAACTTTCACTACTGAGGTTGTACTATAGTCACGTTTTTATATTCAGCTTTTTATTGTAAATATTTTATTGTTTTTCACAGTAATCGTTTTTTTATTTGTAAATGCCAATTACTCAATATATTGGATTTGGTTTTGATAGATTTCAAAGCACGGTGCATGTGTTTTTTTAGTTTATGCTAAGAGCCAGATACTGGTCTAGGCCAGACTGGAGGAAGGCTAGGATGTGAAGAATAGAATATTTCTGGGCACCGATATGCCTGCTCTCATACCAGCCAAAGTATGCTTTCCAGGGACCATTACTGTGAGTCCAGGCGCTGGTAACATAGAAAGTCTCCTTGCCACATTTCCACTGCCAGACTGTGGCTCTCTGCCCAAGAGAGAATCAGGCTCTCTTCCTTCAGGGCTACCTGACTTCTGGTACCCCATTGGCGGTTTATGTAGGCCAAAGGTCGCTGTCTGACTGCATTCATCCTGTGTGACCATTTAGAAGAGTCAGTCTTACGGATCTCAGTTTCATAATGTTAACGGGGAGCATTGACTCCTGTGGGGACCAGGTTTCTTGGAAAGTCAGGGCGCTGGAGATGCTACTCCAGCCCTACAGGCATGCTTTGGCAACTACCAATTTCCAGGGAGAGAGAGGGAAGGAACTCTTGGATTTTAGAGCCACATTGGAAATCCAGCATGACTGGCTAGAAAGCAGTAGTGGGCAATCCAGATAAAGGACCGAATGTCGAGATTCTAAGCTCTAACAGTGGAACTCGGCAAAGGGAATCACCCAAAAGAAGGTAATCATGAGGCCCAAAACCCTCATACAGAAGCAAGTTGAGGGATGGCCCTTTCTGAGAGTTGGACCTCAGACAAGAAATCTTTTCCTGGGGAAGGAAAATTTTGGCCTGACCCATGTCCAAGCTCAAAACCAAATGCTTCAGATGATGGAAAAGCTGGAGGACAGACTTCTTGAAGATGATCGCCTATCCAAAAGTCTGAAGGAACAGAATTGTCCTCTGAATGTTGTAAAACAAGACCATAGCTGAGAAATCTTAGCAGGTGGTCATCCAGGTACCCTGTGGCATGGATGCCCTGAGATCCTAGCAGGGCCAGGAGCAGAGCAAGAGTCCCAAAGCAAAGGATGTGCAATGTTAAGGTTTCAAATATTTGTTATCAATTAGCTCGTCGCAACCTCATTTTTTATATTGTACCAAAAAAAGCTGGTAATATATTTTGTCTGTGTGCACTAAAATTTTGCATATTTTTTACTAAAAATCTGCATTTGATAAACATGTGCACTAATATAATTTAATATAAATTGCAACTGCCACCCAATTTATTCTTCAGGATCGTTGCTTTCAGAAAGTATAAGTGGCTATTCTTTAGGCTCTCTAATGTACATTTTAACATGTGTGCAAAAACTGAAAAAAATGGCTCTGATAGTGAATTGGTTAAGAACTCCTGCAACACTGCAAAGCCAGAAAGAGCACTATTTTCTGGTTCAGCTTCTCCGCTTCCTGGAGTCACCTACAGTGGGGAAAATAATTATCCCTTGGGTCTATTTTTCTCATAGGTGTATTTTAAATGAGATAGAATATCAACCAATACAGAAAAAAAAAAACATGATACAAATGTTATAAATTGAGTTGCACGTCAGTGAGTAAAATAAGTATTTGATTCCCAAGCAAAAAACATGACTTATTACTTGGTGGAGAAACCTTTGTTGGCAAGCAGAAGTAAGACGTTTCTTGTAGTTGGTT